TGACAAGCTAGCATTATCTGAAAGGAAGGAACCTCAGCTGAGAAAATGCATCTGTAAGATCCAGCTGTAGGGCATTTTCTTTATTAGTGATTGATGGGGGAGGACCCAGGCCATCATGGGTGGGGCCATCCCTGGGCTAGTAGTCCTGGTTTCTATTTTTAAAAAAGCAGGCTGAGAAATCTAGGGGAAGCAAGCCAGTAAGCAGCACCCCTCCATCACTTCTACGTCAGCTCCTGCCTCTAGTTCCTGCCCTGTCTGAGTTTCTGTCCTGACCTCCTTCAATGACTGACAGGGATGTACGCTGAATAAACCTTTCCTTCCAACTTGCTTCTTTGGTCATGGCATTTCGTCACTGAAATAAAGGCCTAACTAAGACAGCACTGAACAGCAACCAGAGGCTTTTTGGTGTCAGTCATCCCTAGAACTTAGGATTCCACAGTGAGCTCCATGAAGGGGGACATGGAGGCCACCACTCACTGGCATTAGCCTCGTGCATCTGAAGTGAGGCTTAGAGAAATTCTCCCAGAAAAACTGCAGAGCTCCAAGGTGTCCTGAAACCAACCACCCTACAATCACAAAGAAGATAGTTGGGCTTCTCCAGCACAAGGGTCTCTATGTTGCAATGTTCCTGGGTTTTCAAGCCGGTAAAGGTGAACTTGGACTGACACCAGCTGAGGACAGACAACATCCCACTGGGGAGAGTTTGAGAGGCTTCTTACGTGGCCTTAGACAGGATACTTACCACATATAGACCTTCAGAAAACTCTCCAACTGCAAACACTAAGACGGCACATCCTTCCACACTGAATCCAGGAGCAATGACTCAATTCTTGGTGACCTCACAAGGTGGCATGGGCTACTGGTAATGAGCTTCATAGGGGCAGCCAGCAAGGTCTACTCACAGTGTGGCCTGATCCTCTGGAAGCCAGGCAGGCTCAGCTCCAACAGATCCCAGCTAATCCAGCACTCAGTAGGTGGCTTTGCTAAGCTCAAGGAGCTCACGGGTGTCCTCATGACCCGGGCCACCTCTTGGTTGCCGTGGTCAGGGAAGAGCAGCATGGGGTACTAGCCAGGAATCCACTGCTCTCTTGAAGCTTACTGCCATACCTTACAACTCTCCCTTAGCAGCAGTAGCTGCAGGGAGCACAGGAAAGCTGGAGACCCCTCGGTGGTACACGGTGCCACCGCCTGAGGTCCCCTCTTCCTTTGTGTACAGATCAGTAGAACGATTTCTGGAGCTCTTGGTGCATCTCCTAGGACCCAGAACTTGAGGTCTTACCCCTCTCCCAGCTGAAGGAAAGCAAGTCTTTCCATGGCGCCAACATCTTAATGGTCTCATCCTTCTGGGCAGAGCAGATTGTCTGTAGTGAAGGTTCCTAATGAGCCCTTGCTGCCAAGGAGATAGAGAAAATATCTCTTCTGGAAACCTTGGTGCACCATCGTTGGTTATAGCATAGCCAAGACTTTCCATTGAAATGTCAGACCAGTTAAATTCCCTCCCTGACGTCAGGAGACTTCAGGATAGGCCAGAAGGCCTGGATAGGATTAGCATGGTCCTCTTCCCACTGACCTTAAGTCCAGTCGAAAATCTCACTTGAGTAGACTTGTGGTCTTTCCTCCACTGCTGGGCTGTCTGGGACCAAAGGCTAGGTCATTCATACACACAGGTCCCTCGGGGTTAAACATGGGGGCTTGAAGCTGCCACCTCCATTATGGTGGGATTTGAGTCAGAAGTAATTTCATCCCTCCCAGGCGGGTTGGTCCAACATCAGAAGCAATCAGCTGTGCCTGGTGGCTGTGGCTCAACCTGCCTTTTTCTGGGGAGGAAGGAAATGGCAGTGGTCTGCTCCCCTGGAAAAGTCTAATTGGCTTGAAGAACAAGAGTTTTCCTGGCTGGGTTAGTACTGGTTACTCCGCCCAGGACTGATTACCGAAGGCACTCCGGAGGGAGCCCAAGATTCAGTCCTGATTTACTGAATGTCTGCTAAGCTTCTTGTATATCCAGCTAGGGACAGGGGAAACCGAGTGACTGTTATGGCCACCTCTTTAACTTGGCCATAACTGGACAGTGTGGCTCAACACCTTCCAGGAAACGCCTGTGTCACCCCACGCCGAGGCCAAGCTCTGAGGTCCTACATCCCAGAATCAGATGAACAGAGCATAAGTTACCGTAGAGGTTAGAGCCTCCTCTCGGGGTCAGAACAGGGCACTTTTGACAGTGCAGGGCTTTGTTGGGAAGGGTTCCTGTTGACATTTGGGCCCTCACTGATCTTCATTGCTAGTAAATGCAGTTTTAGTGAGGATGCTGGGATTTTATGGCATTTGTACCTAGTGGGAACATTTCCCAGAGCTGTCTGGGCCCATCTGAGAAGTGTCAGCCATGCCCGGTTGGCAAGGCCCATGTCTGCTGCTGAGAAGTAAGTGCTTTCTCACGTTGTTGACTAGAAGGCGGTCTGTACACTTTCCTCCTCGCACTGCTGCCGGTCTGTCTTACCGATGAGATGGAGCATGCTCCGTACAGGCGTATGATACTGAAATGTGTGTCCCCATTACTTATAACCTTGTCGGCCCCAGGGTGGATGCTCCTCCTTACGTAAATAGGGTACCTGCAGGGAGTCCTCTTATCCCCAGCACCCCTGCTTCCAGCACAGCAGACTGCTGGAATTACTCTAGGGTCACCTTATGTGAGCCCAATCCTGACAGCAGACTGGTCGTCATCCCTTTGCCCAGCCTATCTTCTGGTCTACAGTTATAGAAAAGTGTCGGTGGCAGTTTAAATGGCATTGGCCCCCATAACCTTATAGGGAGCCGCACTATTAGGAGGTGTGGCTTTGCTGGAGGAAGTGTGTCACTGTGGGGTGTGGTGGGAATTCGTTCCAACAGTGGGTTTGGGGTACCTGTCTTAGGGTGTGGCTTCTGCGCACAGACGCCATACTTTATAAGGAAGAGGAGGGCTCTATCTATCTATCTATCTATCTATCTATCTATCTATCTATCTAAGGTTTCCTATGCTCAGGGTACTGCCCAGTGTCTCAGATGACTTCCTGTTGCCTGTGTGTCACCATGCTCCCTGCCGTGATGATGACAATGGACTGAACCTCTGAAACTGTAAGTGAGCCACGTCAATCAAACGTTTTCTTTATAAGAGTTGCCGTGGTCATGGTGTCTCTTCGCAGCAATAGAAACCCTAACCCAAGCAGGGTGTGCATGTGCTTTGGAGTCTTGTAGAATGAACTTGACATCTTTTGCCCTTTGTACCTCTTTCCTGCCACTCACTCTACAGCAGGGTTCCTATGTCCAGAGCAAAACAACACTGCAGCCATTAGACGCGATGACAAAAGTCAGATGCTTTAGAGTAGGGGACCACACCCCTCCCTGACAGCCTCACACTGCCAATGGATCGACCGAAAGCACCATCTTCCCAGACACTTCTAAACTTTCCGAATTCAAATCCTCCGAGACTTTCCCACCTGGCATTTCTTTAAATTAAAGGATGTTTCTTGGGTGTGGACATGAGCCAGCTATTTGAGGGAAGAGCATTTGGACCTATGGGTCATCTGAGCTAACTAGACTCAATGTGAGCCACAGTCTCGTGGTTCTCAAGGGTTTCCCCCGGCCCCTCATTTCCAAGCTCAGTTTCACACACTCATCAGCCCTCTGCCGCTTCGCTGGAATGCCCAAGTGGTATCTAACTTTGGTTCCCACCCAATTATGCTCTTCCCGCATGGGCAGTGTTACTACTGCCCCCCCCCCCCGCCGCTGCACGCGTGAGAGCTGAATTAAAACGCTGGCAGACGTTCCTCAGCTTTGTGAATCTGGTCCATCTATAAGATATCTCAGCTCTGTATAGAGTAGTCTATCCTACCCCTGCTACAGTAACCCACTCTACCATCATCCTTCCTCCTAGCTGGGCGGAAGTTCCCTTTTCCCACACAACAGGCCTCCTGTGAATTAAAAGAAAAAAAAAATGTAAAGCAGGGGGCCTGGAGAGATGCCAGAGCAGTTAAGAGCACCGGCTGCTCATCCAGAAGACACAGGTTCAATTCCCAGCACCCACATGGAAGCTCACAACCATCTCTAAGTCCCGCTCCGAGGGTGGGGGGGGATGGGGGTCTGACACCCTCTCCTGGCCTGCATGGGCATTGCATGCATGTAGTACAGGAACACACACACACATGCTGATAAAACACCCCTCACACACATAAAATAAAATAAGGTCTTCTTTGAAATGTAAATCAGATTTCAGCGAGTCTCCTTTATAGAATATGTTTTTAAACATTTAGGCTAAAATCTTTTCTGTGATCTAAAACCTCCTCTCTGTCTAGAGCCCGTCTATCTGTCTGGCTTCGTCTTCCCCTGGCTTAGGTATTCCAAATCTGTGAAGTGGGCGTAGTAACAATAGTTAGACTCGCTGACTTTCCATCTGTTCTGGGGGTAGAAAGTGGCCACCATCAGCTGGATGCAGAGAAACTCTCCAGCCAGTGTACTGTCTCATGCACCATTCCAAAACCTGGCTACCAGGGATATTTGAGCCAAGAAAGACAAGTAGAGGCTTCCCCGAGGGGACCAGGGTTGCCGAAAGAGTTAAAACACTTTTTCTCCAACCCCCCCCCCTCCTGTGTCTGCTTTATGGGCTTAATGAGAAATCCAGGCACTTCACAAGAGACCGTACAAATAACTTCTGGGGCATCGCTAACTCACTCAGCAGCAAGAGACCTGAAGCTGCCAACACTTCAGGGAAGATAAGTACGTGGAAAGAAGGTGATTCTTTCACAGCGCTGGGCAGAGAGAATTTTGTGGAACTGAGTGTGAGCTCCTCCCTTACAGCAAAACTGAAAAAGCCCGCTTAGGCTCCCCATTCCCTCTTTCGAGATATTTGATTAGGAATTTGGGGGCGGGCCCTGGCCTGGCACAGACTCGCACACTCTCCGTGGAACTCACTCCTCTCTCTCTCTTCTCCTCTCTCACATTCTCCAACTCGAGGAGGTCGGAGAGAAGGACGGGGTCATTCTGAACAGTTCGACCCAAGGTAAGTGCTGTCATATTGCTTTAGATTTTTGTTCCTTGCAATTCTACAAACATAAATAAAAGGAAGGGGCAAGACTGGGGAGACGAGTAGGCAAAGATAGGTTATTCTCGCCATCTGGTCCATGACCCCCAGGGATGACAATGGCAGGGGGCATGAGCTCCAGCATGTTACCTGTTCCCTAACCGTTCCCTGCGGGTGTTAGGGACCTCCATTTCACAGGCATGAAAACATGATGTAAATTGCATCTCTCTCTCTCTCTCTCTCTCTCTCTCTCTGCTACCCGTGAATCCCAATGTGCTTGGGGCTCGGGGCACTATGGAGGTTAGTCTTTGAATGTCCCAGAAACCTCTTAGAGAGGGACATGGTACCCAAATGTTAGGAGTTAAGCTTTGTGTAATGTGTGTATTGTTGGGGTGAAGGGGGAGAATAAAATATTGACAGTGCCCAGAGAGTCGTGGAGGAATGGTGTCCCACTCAGCCCACTCAGCCTAGAAGATGGTCTTAGCTTGAACTCAGCTCTGATAGGAGGGAATTCCTCTACAGTGAAGAAATGAGATAGTTCAGTAGCTCCTGAGTCAGGGTCTTCAAGTCTGTGAGAACCACTTCTGGGGTCCTCTCAGTGGACACAGGGTCTCTATCTAGCACAACAAACAATGTAAGGGAGTGTGACCCCAAAGCAACATTCTAGATCTAGGCAGGTCTGCACTGGTACCAAGCCCTCCCAGCAGCCATCGCTCCGAGGAGAGGCCACTGTGGCTGGGCATGGAGCCCCCTGGAAAGCAGGGTCTGGAAGAGGAAGGTAGGTCCCTCCTGCCAAAGGGCCTCGTCTGGAAGGAGAAATGGAGACAGAGACTTAGTGTGCCAGCCCTCTCTAAACAGCCACCTTGGTCGGTTCTGCAGCAGCCGAGGGCTGTGCATGGAAAAAATGCTGTCTTGGCAGTGGGCCGCCTCATCCGTCTTCTCTCCTGGTCTGAGTCAGGGACCAGCCAGCATCCTAGGCAGTGGGCAGTCGAGCCTGCTCCTCAGAAACACTGTGGTTCTTTGTTCAAGGCTGCCCAAGGATGAGCCAGGGTGCCCGCTCTGAGCCATCCAGAGACGGCAGGATGAAAAGCCCTAATGGAACTGTTTTCAGGGAACAGAGGGGTCTGATGGGAATGGTGCCTGGAAGCTGAGCAGTTGGGGTGACGTAGTCAGGGTTACTCTCATCAGTTCATATAGAGTCTTTCAGTTCCTGCCCTGTCCTGTCCACATTGCCAACCTCAGCATGGCCCCATAGTGAGGACACTCCAGGAGAACCTTTTGGGCCAGGAAAGGTTGCAAGCATTCTCTGTCTTAATAGTTGTGTTCTGGGAGGTCCCCCTGCTCACGGGGCCTATACAGCGCCCTTGCGGAAGGCACCTGGAGTAGGGTGCCCAGGCCAGCTGTGACACCCCAGTCTCCCATCTTCTACACCTCCAGCTTCTGTCTTGTTCCTGCCTTGCTGACATAGTAAGCTCCAAGGCCACAGGCTCCTCAGCAGCGGGGGTGGCAAGTAAGCCTGGAAGGACATCACTGGGAGGAAGTAGCTTAGCAGAGGAGAAGGGATGCGCCAGGCATAATGGCACACATCTTTAATCTCAGCACCGGGCAGGCAGAATTCTGGGAGTCCCAGGACAGCCTGGTCTACAGAGTGAGTTCCGGGACAGAGAAGGGATACTAAATCCCACTCCTGGCTATGATTCCATGTCTATCCGATGCTCAGTGTCCCTAATCCATTTCAGTAGCCTCTCACATAGCTATTGCCATCCCCATGGAGCTGAAAGGAGCGTTAAGTCCTTCAGACCACAGGAAAGAGACGCAGACCAGGCCAGACACAGTACAGTCAGCCCAGAAGACAATCACTAAAGCCATGCTGGCTTCCCAGTCTGGAAAGACCAAGTCTGGGTACACACGCAGCCGCAAGTTGCTAACCAGTGCGTTTTCTCACCCAGACGATGGCGCTTTGGAGAATAGCCCAGAGCTTGTGGTGTCCACAGGGGAACCACACCCTCCCACACTCAGGACGTGAAACCCCCAGGCTGCCGGAGAGACCAAAAGATCTTCCAACGGCAGCTCAGCTATTGTTCTCTTCCCATGCCCCAGACAGTTCTGGAGGCACCCTGGGTGTGGAAAGAACCAGGAGACTCTTGTCCTTGGAGTCTCAGAAAAGATCTCCCTGGGAGTCCAAACTAGACGGGAATTCGGGCCTCAAAATATCCCACCGTGACTGGTGCAGGAAGGTATAGGACCTGGGAGAGGGGACGCTGTGGGCGTCTCAGCTTCAACAACAGAACCTTAGGGCAGTAGAGTGTGAAAGGCCTGCCCTCCCCAAGCTGTTGCCCCACCCCCTCCCAAGCCCCCACACCGAGGGAAAGTACAGCTCCTGCCCTCCATTGTTTGCCTGCACAGCCATGGTATCGTCTGTGTCTGCACAGCTGCAGTATCATCTGCATCTGCGTCTGTGTAGCTTAGAGCCGGTGGCTGTCCTGAGCCATGTGCCCTCACTCACGCCCTCTATTGCTCTGTTCTCTCCCTTTCTACAGAGACAAAATGCAGTGGGCCTCCATCCTGCTGCTGGCTGGTCTCTGCTCGCTCACCCAGGGCCAGTATGACGAAGATTCTCACTGGTGGATCCAGTACCTCCGAAACCAGCAGTCCACCTACTACGACCCCTATGACCCTTACCCCTACGAGCCCTCTGAGCCTTACCCCTATGGAGTAGAGGAAGGCCCAGCCTATGCCTATGGCACGCATCCTCCACCAGAGCCCCGTGACTGTCCCCAAGAGTGCGACTGCCCGCCTAACTTCCCCACAGCCATGTACTGTGACAACCGCAACCTCAAGTACCTGCCCTTTGTGCCCTCCCGCATGAAGTATGTCTACTTCCAGAACAACCAGATCACCGCCATCCAGGAAGGCGTCTTCGACAATGCCACTGGGCTGCTCTGGATTGCTCTGCATGGCAACCAGATTACCAGTGACAAGATAGGCAGGAAGGTCTTCTCCAAGCTGAGGCACCTGGAGAGGCTGTACCTAGACCACAACAACCTGACCCGGATGCCCGGCCCGCTGCCTCGATCCCTGAAAGAGCTCCACCTGAACCACAACCAGATCTCTCGGGTCCCCAACAATGCTCTGGAGGGGCTGGAGAACCTCACGGCATTGTACCTCCACCACAATGAGATCCAGGAAGTGGGAAGTTCCATGAGGGGCCTCCGGTCTCTGATCCTACTAGATCTGAGTTATAACCACCTCCGAAGGGTGCCCGACGGTCTACCGTCAGCCCTGGAGCAACTGTACCTAGAACACAACAGCGTCTACACCGTCCCTGACAGCTACTTCCGGGGGTCACCCAAGCTGTTGTACGTGAGGCTGTCTCACAACAGCCTCACCAACAACGGCCTTGCTACCAACACCTTCAATTCCAGCAGCCTCCTGGAGCTGGACTTGTCCTACAACCAGCTGCAGAAGATCCCTCCCGTCAACACCAACCTGGAGAACCTCTATCTCCAAGGCAACCGGATCAACGGTGAGATGGGGTGGGGTGCTCCTATTGCTCATGGGAATACACATGAGCTGGGAGGCAAACAATCATTCAAAGCCCTGAAGTGCAGACAGGTGTGCACTGTCCTCCGACAGAGGTAAGAGAGCTGGGCGGCTCCAAAGGCCACTTCCTAGGAGAGCAAGCTTCAGTCTAAGGCTTTCAGGGTGAGCACAGGGGGCTCAGGATGAAAACCCGTAGCATTGGGAATTGCCAGGAAGAGCCTGACACTCAACAAGTCACCTGTGGGAGACAGGCAGGGATGCCTGTTTGAAAGGAAAGGCCACGTGTTTAGGAGCAGCGAGAGATGAGTTAAGAGAGGTTCTAGAGACATGGTTATCAACCTGTGTGTCGCGACCCCTTTGGGCAAGGGTCGAGTGACCCTTTCACAAGGGTCACATATCAGATTTACCGAATATGAGATATTTACATTACATTCATAACAATAGCAAAATTACAGTTGTAAAGTAGCAACGAAAATAATTTTGCAGTTGGGGGGTGGGGGTCACCTCGACATGAGGAACTGTATTGAAGGGCTGCAACATTTGGAAGGCTGAGAGCCACTAGAGGGACATTCGAGAAGAGACTTCGTTATCTTCTGGGGGCTGCCTTAGAAGGAAGTTGGGCTAAAAGGGTCTCTGAGCGCCCTTAACGATCACCAGCAGACGCAGTCTCTGGGTTACCCCCCCATACCCCCCCCCGTGACTCCTGCCTGCACAGCCAGGTCTCTGGGTTTGGGTGTTTGTTTTTTGAACTTGGCAGATGGACAAAAATGGGCAGCCTCCCAGAGCTGAAGGTGGGGCTTCCTGGTTCTCCCTGGAGTCCACGGAGTCTCTGGTGTCAAGGCAAAGTCCTTCCTGGAGCAACGAGCCTGGCCATGCTCTGAGGCTGAGAGCTAGAAGAATTTCAGCCTCTTACTGTTAGGATCTCATGTTCAGAACAGGCTTGCATTAGCCCAGTGGCTTCTGATGTCTTGACCTCAGCTGGAAGGTACTGCCACTAGCCTTCCTAGGCCGGCCAGTGCCCCCCCTCCCCCGTTCGGCTCTGGGGAAGGGAGACCTGTGAATGACCAGAGGGCTTTGAAGTTCTTTGGGCCTGCTGAGAAGGAATGAGCCATCCAAACACAGGAGAGGCCCAGTCCTGTCCTCTCTGCTCTCAGGAGCACAGATGAGACTTTTAGCAGGATGTTAACAGCCAGACAGCCTTTTTCGGGCAGCTAGGGAAGGTTGCAGTGGGACTATGGAGCAGAAGGGTGTCTGTCTGGTCCTTTCTTTTGAGCTGCAAGGCACCATTACGTACACCCTAGGTTGGTTTTTACCTTGAGTCTCTCTTTTGGGAGAGGAATCTTGTTAGTCCCAGGGTGATGATGGGAGTCATTTACTCTATCTTAAAGATAGCACACACCACCAGAGTTGGGCATTTTCTCACAGGATAACTCCCACCCTGCAGCCCAATCCAGAAGGGCTGTCATATAAGAAGTGTCACACTGTATGCAGTACCTCACCCAAGTGTAGCCCCGAACACGTGGCGGGAAGGAACTCTGGGAAAGAGCACGTGAGCTGATGCCTAACCATCTGACCAGAGAGGTGGCGAGGAGAGGCCGTCACCCTTCTGGGTCGCAAAGGCTGACCCAAAAGTAAATGATTCAATGAGCTGTCCTAAGGCCCTGCAAGAAAGCTGTCTGTCCGAACCCCTAGAAAATGTCAGCATCTACCCCAGAGCCCTATGTGCTGGTTTGGGGCTATTCCTCCCTTTCCTTTCCTGGTTACCATTTAGTCTCTCTCCTGGGTTCTTTTTAATAAGCAGAGTAACCCCCATGCCGTACGTCTTTGAGTTAGTAAATAGTACCTGCAAAGTGCATGACCCAGAGGCCCTAGCACAGGGTTTCACGGCCAATCCATGGTAGCACATCGTCAGCTTGCTTCTCGTTGCTGTTTAGAGTGGACCGATACAGTTTGGGTGCTATTTTTCTGAACTTCCAGGATGCAGAAGTGAGGTATATTGAGAGGAGAGCCATCTCTCCAAGTCACCCAGCCTAGGGGACCCTCGACTCCTGCCCTTTGTCAGGCACCTAAAGGGGGGCATTTCTGACTGAGAACAACCCATCTCTGATGCAGGAAACGGCTTCCCAGGTTGCCCACCTCACACACTAGGGAACCCAGGAAGGAGCTCTTCCTGCACTGGCGGCCGGGGGCCCTGCTGGAGCGAAGGTGTTGTAAAGGCACTTATGAATCAGGGACCACAGAACAGCAGCTCCAGGCCTGCATGCAACCAGGAAGGATGCCCCCCCCCCATGCCTTCTCAGTTTTTCCAACCTGGTGGAGAGTGTGGGGAAACAGCCATGGAATGTTATTCAGGAGCTGTGGGATTCAGGGCAGCGGGGAGGACCAGAGTTAGGAAAGACTTATGTCAGTATTTAAACTGGGCTGGAAAATGTCTGCCAGGGCCTCCTCTCAGAAGCCCCAACCTACTGTGGGCTTGAGGAAGCCGGGGCTGAGGGGGAGTTGGCCGAGTCAGAACCCCATGAATGTCTGATCTAAGTGTGTCCAGTTGCTCACAGATAAGGCCCATGCTGTGTGCTCACCCTGGGGACTGGGATTTTTAGCAGTCTGCAGGCTGCAGGTTGGGACTTCTACCTCAGGACCAGACAGGCAACGAGGAAGCTCAGACCTCATGTCTCCCCAGGCCTGTACACAGATATCAGACCCAACCCCCATTGGGACCACACCCCCATCGGGACCACACCCACTAAATCTATTCCCGGGGGAACAGGGAGCAAACACCAAATCATCCCAGGTTTCCTGCCCCTCCTCGAAGGGCATTTCCCAGGACCCCACCTTTATGTTGTGACAAAGAACTATGGCTTAGGGGGGGGCTCCTCTACTAAAGAGTCCTCGGAGACTTCTGGGAGTAAAAGGGAGCAAGGGCCTGGGAGGGGTGGCTCTGCCTCTACCCGAAGTCCAGAGTTCAGACGCCCAGAACCTACAAGGTCTGGTGGAAAGGACATCCAATACAAAGCACAGATGGGAGCTGCACTTCAGAAATTGAAACAGCCACGCCGGTGACGGTGACACCCTGCCTGTAATTCCAGCCTCAAAAGACAGATGATCCTTAAGGCCAGATAGATAGATAGCTACCAAGAGTGGGCCTATCAGCAAGATCTGGGTGTGATTGATTGACCTTACCTCAGCAAAGTAGGCAGTTGATGAAGATTCCTGACAGTTGCCCTGAGCCTCCATACACACACACACACACACACACACACACACACACACACACACGTGCATACTTATACAGGTGTCTCACATACATGTAAAAATGATACACACACTTGAGAATAGAAAAGGAAAAAAAATATAATAAACAGAATAATCCCACTACGGGTGTGGTGGTATATGCCTGTAATCCCCACACTCAGGATGAGGGGGGTGGAAGCATCTGGAGTTCAAGGCTATGCTTAGCTACACAGTAAGCTTGAGGCTGGTCTAGACTACATGAGATCCTGTCCCCCAAAGTAAAATAGGCCTATGTAATCATATGCAGGAGGCAGGGGGATCATTTATTTGATTTTGTCTTGCTTAGTATTTTTTTTTTTTTTTTTTTTTTTTTTTTTTTTTGAGACAGGGTTTCTGTATGTAGTAGCCCTGGCTGTCCTGGAACTCACTGTGTTGGCCTTGAACTCACAGAGATCTGCTTGCCTCTACCTCCCCAGTCAGGAAATGTTCAAGACCAGTGTCCCTGCGTTTCCCAGCATCCCCCTCGTGATGTGCCACGGGCAAAGCCCTCCTCCCAGGAGTCAAGCCTTCACTGCGCTATGGCCTGCACCTACCCTCTGCTCCCCCTGCTGCCCACAGACAGGAAAACAACACGGCTTGCTAGGAAGCACACCCAAGGATGCTGGGCCCAGGGTAGCAGAGCGCAGGTGTGGGTAGGGGAGTGAGAGGCGGAGCTGAACCCGACCGGCTCCCAGCGCTGTCCCAAACGGCGCCCGTCCGGTCCGTCTGACGCCAATTCTAGGCCTCCTCTCCATTCTTCCTCGCCACACCATCCCAGTCTCCATTCTTGATTTCAGTGGATCCAAAGCGGCCCTCAAAGCCCACTTTGTATGTGGTTACTAAGCTGGGCTTCTCCCACCCGCCCACCCCTCTTGTCCCCCCTAGAGTTCTCCATCAGCAGCTTCTGCACGGTGGTGGACGTCATGAACTTCTCCAAGCTGCAAGTGCTCCGCCTGGACGGGAACGAGATCAAGCGCAGCGCCATGCCCGTCGATGCTCCACTCTGCCTGCGCCTCGCTAGCGTCATCGAGATCTGAGCGGCTATGCCCCGCGCTCCTCCGGGCTCCAGGCACACGCACCCCGCACCCCTGCTCCCCGAGAGCCGCCTCCACCCTGCAGCATTTGACTCGATGGTCTGGTTTGGCTTTTGCTGGATGGTCTGGCACAAGCAAGTGGTAAAGTCCACGGGCTCTCGTTATTCAGACTCCTTCCCATAGGCAAAGTTAGGTGGGATGAGAGCCCCCGCCAGATTCTGCAGAGGAGGAGAGGCCATGGAGCCCCACAATCTTAACCTTCTCTATGACCTTGCATAGGCAGAAGCGTATAACCATTTTCAGACAATCTGACTTTTTGAGCTGTGCTCAACAGCGTGGCCCAGCTGCTTCCGCAGTTACTCTGGGCTCCCATTGGTTGCTTCTCAAAACAGACCTCTAGCCCAGCCACCTCCTCCTAGGGCCAGCCCATCCACTCTGCCCTCTTTAACCCAGGCCTCTCCTATGCCTTAGGCAGTCAGGAGACACACCCGCTAAGGCCCGGCGGTAGCTGTTCAGCAGCCTGCCCTGCGGTGAGAGGTCACACTATTGTCTGAGGTTAAAAGGATGCCTAAAATCACCACAACACCTCCCTAACCTCTCCTGTTTAAAGGCACCAAGCCCAAGGTCGTCAGCATAATGGTGATGTCATGGCTTGATACCAGAGGGGACCAACCGCTGCACAGTGGAGGACTGGATTTCAGAGGAAGGAAGGGTTCCATGGCTGTCATCGTGTCCATAGGGAGGTAGGGAAGGGCCACACCTCAGACTAGCAAAACTGAAAGGGGAGGTCCCTTCCCCGGTTTCATCTGACCCAGCATGGTCTGCGTCCCTTCTTGGGCTTTTAGTCTTGACGGGGCAGCAGCTTGGTTTTCAAAAGCATGAGAAAGAGCATCTGTCCGTCCTTCAATCCAAGTAGGGAGGTTTGGTACACAGATGGCAGAGGCAGACTCCACCAGCCTTGGGCCCACCTGCTAACCTAGACTATGGTCTCAACAACTGGTTTGTCCCCCAAGGACAGAGCTTAAGGTACCAGAGCTGCCAGGGATGCTTGCTGGGATGCCAGAATCCTAAGAGGGGCCAGATCTTGCTACACTGGGCAAGGATCCCTCTGCTCTCACTCAGTGAAGGCACTCCTCATGCCTGACAGTGCCTGCGATTTGTAGCATGGCTGAGAATAATCCTGTCTTCCCCTTTCTAATGGTGACATTGCCTGGGCACAGCTCACAGACTCTTCTAGACCCTACCGGATGGAGCTATCTGGGTAGCCAGCGGCAGGGAGTAGTTGAAGGATGTTAGCCTGAGTCCGGTCCCTGCCTGGACATCTCAAGGCCCTGACTGGTGTGCACTGGGAGGAAGCATCTCTAAAAGGGGCAGCAGGGTGTGTAGAGGAGGGGATACCTTGAGTGTGTCCTGGGCTCCGGAATCTCAAATCCACAAAAGCCAAATCAGCTTGTTTCAACCAAGGAGTGCCGTGTGCGGGGCGGGGCTGCCCTGCCCAGGGCTCTTGGGGAGCACCTGCATGTGAACGCCATCATGCCTCTATAAAGGGCCCTTAGCATGGGGCGAGCGTGAGCAGTCGCTAACCTGACCAATAAAGCTATTTTATAAGCGCATCTGCAAGGATGGAGTCATTGGTGGCAGCCCGCACCTAGTCACACAGGCCTTGAACTGTGTTAGCTCTTTCTTTCATATTCTTCTTGGGTAAGTGTAGCTAAGAGCTTTTTAAAAGTAGCTAACTCAAGTTAGCAAGTGTGTTCTGAACTTTATTTACATGCCCATTTGTCTCTTGAGAGAAAGAAAAACTGTTTTTGAGGATGGTTGTTGTTGTTTTTCTGCTGTTGTCATTGTTTGAGCCTCCCTTGCCCCCAACACACCACACACACACACACACACACACACACACACACACACACACACACACACACACACACTAAAAGCTTTTCTACCCTCTCTTGCCAACACAGTAATTCTGGACCGGCTGAGCTGCGGTAGTTCTCTGCTGCCCTCTAGTGGCACTTGCCGCAAATTAGCGCTGCCCAATCCAGCAAAGCCTACTTGGTCCTGGAAGAACTGAGCTGGTGACACCTGTGAATGTTTCTTGAAACCCTTCAGGTGCCTCCGTTGGAGTAAGGAGGGTGGCTACCCTTGTGCCTTTGGGGCAGGGGGAGGGGAAGAGGTTGCGGATGAATGCATGACAAATTCTGAGTGCTCCGACTCCATGTTTTGTGAAAGCAAACTGAGCATGCATGTTTTTGGAAGAAATGTGAGGGTGTGAGTGCTTTGGAAATCCGGCAGAGAGGGGTGCATGGGGGGAGGGGGAGGGGAGGAGACAGGACACTTATGGAGGGGTCCATCCAAACAGCTGCCTTTCAGGTTAGACTCTTAGCAGCTTAGCTACCTCGATGGTCTTAGTCCTTCTGGGTTGCTGTGACATTCACCCGCCACAAGCAGCTTAATGCAGTCAGGATGTAGCGTGACTCTCGGTTTCACAGGTCTACCACGGGAGGGAACGCTCAGCAAAGGGCTGTTCCCATCGGAAGCACCCACAGGCTGTCCTAAGAACCACGTGGCCTGACTCAGGCATAACAGTGTCCCTACCTCCCTGGCAACAATGTTCAGAGCTGGTTTCTTTCCCTGGTTGCGTCAGTACCTGAGAGAGACAGGTCAAGAATAAAAGGGTGTCCTGGCTCATGGTTTCAGCCCACCGGCTCATGGCAGTGGGATTGTGTAACAGGAGTGTCAGGAGCTGTCACAACACCCAGACCAAGAGCAGAGTGCACGGTAGGAGCCAGGGGCTGTGTGTGACCTTCGAAGCCCCGCCCTAAGTGACCTGCTTCTGCCAGTCCTAACGGTTCCACAAGCCTCCCAGAATAGCACACCAGGTGTTTAAAACCCATGGGGGCCAGTTCAGATTTAAATCATAACACCAACAGAGAACAGCCCGCACAGCCCAACAACCGGGCTTCCCTCGTTTCCAGGTCCATTGATTCTCAGGAGAGACACAAGGAGGTGTTGCCCCTCAGGCTCAGGCACCGTTTCCCTTCATGCTACCGTGCGGTCGGGACTTACTCTGTACTAGAGACCCGTCTTAGTTACTTTTCTATTGCTGCGACAAGACACCATGACCACGGCAACTTACAAACGAGAGCAGAGGGTAGAGTCCACGAAGGCGGAGCAAGGAACAGAGCACACACATCCTGAGCCACAGGCAGCGGGCAGGGAGGGCTAACTGGGTCTTTGAACCCTCAGAGCCCACTTCCAGTGACACGCCTCCTCTATCAAGGCCACACCTCTCAACCCTTCCCAGATAGTTCCACCGCCCGGGGACCAGGCCGTCCTCATTCAGACCATCACAAGACTTAACTTGTGTCTCCTCGATGGATGCTTCTTGTCCACTGTTCCACAGCTGTTTATATAGTTTTTACACACAGGGAAACACCCAAACATGGAAGGAAGCTTCAGATATGCTAGGCAGCAAAAATGGCCGAGAGCAACGGAGAGCATTTAAAGCAATGAGGCATGCTGCTAGGCGGAGTCAGATCACCTGCTGCCTTAATTGTCTCTTTCAGACTCCAGTACCCAGACACTTTAATTATTTATCCACCCCCCATACCAAGGGCAGAGGTATAGTCCCACTGTTTTGCCTTTGGCCACAAGGGGGCAGTATCTCATCTTACATGCAGAGCCTTTCAAGGGTTCCATGAAGGCAGATTTTTCCTGCCTTTGTTCTAACCAGTTGGTGCCCCAGAAGGTTCAGGGTCAACCAGGGGGTTTTCTTCATTTTGAAATAGTGTTGCTATGCTAACCAGACCAACTTTGAACTCCTGGTTTAAATGATCTTGCCTCACCGTCCTGAGCAGATGGGAGCGCAGGGGTCACTATCCCCAGCATTTTAGAGTGCTGGCTTGACTGCTGCTTCTTCTTTAAACAGCATCTTAGTATACAGTCCAGGCTAGTTCACTAATTAAACAAATCATTGTGGTACCCAGCTACCAAAATACAAAACATAAAGTTCGGATACAATGTGCATGTTTCTTAATTATTTATACAATTCATCCAGAAGTTGATGGGCTACAGTTACTTCAAAGTATGGCTGAGTGCAAAAGTCATGTTGAGGTATTTTCAAAAGCTGCCATGTAATATAAAAATACCTATGATTTCAAGCCAGGTATGGTGACCCAGGCCCACAATCCAAGCACTCAGGAGATAGAGGCGTGATGAGCAGGAATTCAAGGCTAGCCTCAGAGCTCAAGGCCAGCCTGGGCTACAGGAGGCCCAATCTCAAATTAAATCTAGGATTTCTGTATGAAACGGAAGGGCCTCAGGTGCTGCTGTGTGTGTTACCTTCACAAATGAAGGCAGTGCTGAAGTTTGATTAGCTATATGGCGACTGAAAATCTGCCTTGATTCAAGTGCACGGACCTTGTCTAAGGGAAGCCAGGCAAAGACAGGCAGAGGTCCAGATCACTGAAGGAATGTAAGCGGACAGCACCGAGCATGGACTTTTTCTCCCTATGGGCACAACTCATCACATGACAAAGTGGTGTCGTGTGCAGGCCCTGGGCCGGATAATGAGCCTGCTGCTGTTGGTAAGGTTCTCGGAGTCTGTGGCGTTTGGAGGGCACTGATTCATTTTGTCTTAACAGTTTAAAGGATGCTGTTCATTCGGAAGCTCACGAGGTGGTTTGATAAAAAGTACCAAGTATAAGAATGAAATGCTCTTTCTCATTCGGTCTCCTCCCCCTCCTCTTCTGTGTGATGGGGGCCAGCGTGACTCTGGAAGCAACAGGATGGGCCTGAGCCGTCTCCTTTATTTGCTGACTCAGCTGTGCTGACTCCACAGCTAAAATGACATCAGACGACTAATGGTCCCACGTGGACCTCAAACTTTCCCAGAAGTTTCCATCTCAGTCACATAGATAGGAGCTACCAGCTGAGACCTTGGGTAGCCCATTGTGCTCACACAGAGCAAGCGCATTGCTCAACCCTGTAGCTGCACAAGTTTTCCCTCCTGAAAACTAGTCCATGCCCCAAGGACAAAGCCCACATATGCAGCAAGATGGACTGAGCCAGCCCTTGCTGCTCCAGCTCCAGGAGCAAAGGAAGGGAGAAAAAAACTACAGCCAAGGACAAAGGGCTCAGCAACCACACCC